GAGGAACTGATTGATACAGTTGGTTGAGGGAAGTGGAACACCAGCCAGCCCATCTGCCAAGGGAAACAATAATGAACATACAGAATCATTTTACCCCTACATACTCAGGCCCAGGAGGTTAAGTGGACAATTTAGAGGCTGAATAGAGGGTGTCTTGTTCTCTTTTATGCCATCCTCAGACCATACAGTGTAGCTTGTGATCTAGCCCCTAATTGTTATCCTGCCACATGATCTCTTCATCACCTTTCTATGTCCATTTAAATTTTCTAAAGGAGGAGAATTTGAGAAAAACCTTGGTGTTTTATCTATCTATCTATCTATCTAATCTATCTAATCTATCTATCTATCTATCTATCTATCTATCTATCTATCTATCTATCTATCTATCTATCTATCTATCTATCTATCTATCTAAAAAATCTGTGATGCAGGTTAAAATCCAGACTAGTCTGAAACATCCCTGCCTAATCAGTGTTTTGATTCATTTCCTTTACATGTTTCTTTGTCAGGAATGAAAAGAAATACATGACCAGATATTGGAAAGAAGTAGAAGTTGGAGACTTTGTTCAGCTTCGTTGTAATGAAACCATACCTGCTGACATATTGCTGCTCTCTTCAAGTGATCCAGATGGACTGTGTCATATAGAAACTGCTAACCTGGATGGGGAGACCAATTTAAAACAAAGACAGGTCATAAGGAGATTCTTAGAGTTGGTAAGTCAGCATCTTTAATTTTTATATAAGATAATGGTTTGTTTGAACTCTGTATGTGATTCACCAATCCAGAACCACGCCCATCAAATAACTTTTCTCTTTTTAGCAGCACTGGTGCTCCACTGCATTACACTTAAACAACTAGTTTGTGCTAACAGTTAATCACATCATGGTATAAAGTAGATATTTGAGAATTGTGTGGGGCAGGCAAATGTTACCTTTCTAAATTACTTCCATTGTATTTTGGGGTTTGTATCACATTTTTAACTTTTCTTTTTCTATGATGAAAATGATCTACAGAAAGAAAAACTATTTCTCATGTCTGTGGGACAAGTCACTTTCAGTGTGAAACCTTCTACCTAAAAATCCATATCCCAGTATGTCCCTTTAGCTTTAAACGTGCAGGATACATGCATTTTAATTGTGTGTGTTAAGCTAGCAAGAGCTCAAGCTGTAAAAGTTTCTTCATGTCTCTCTTTTTGGCAGTCCTTTTTCCACGACAACATTGTGCATGCCAATAAACAAACAAACCAAAGAGGCCAGAAATAGGAATTATTTCAGTTAAATGATTGGAAAACTAGCTTGAGTTTTACTTAGTCTAGCAACCATACTTGCATATTATTCATATGTAGCATAGTGATCATAATACACAGAGGTGCGTGATTGTGAGACGTTCCAATACTGCAGTAACGGAGCATGTGTAAGTACCAAATATATATTGATGTCAATGACAAAACTTCAGTTTATTTCAACAAAAGCTCCCACCCAAAGTCAAATATTGAAAGAGAGCTGCAAAGGAAACAGAACATGACCACCTCCTCCTAAAATAACTCAGGAAGCACCAATCCCAGTTTTAGTATCAGTTTAAGTTGTCCCCAGTGTTGCATACCTGCAACTTCAAAGAACTCTAGGGCAAGTGTAGCATCCTATAATTCCTTCAGCAATACATTAACAGTCTTTATTATAATACTAGCTAAAACTCCTGGCATGTGATGTCGGTGTATGTGTTGCACTAATATGAGTAGGGTCTTTACAACCTTTGAAAAATTTGCCCTAGTGAGTATTGGTCAGGGGTATGTCAGAGGTAGTTCCTCAGAGTCACTTTTTAGACAACCAAATGACAAGGAAGATTTGGTGAGTTCTCTGTTTCTAAAATGAAGTTTGCCTCTTTTCTGGACTCAGCTGGAATCATTCTCACCAGAGATGGGCTTATTCTTAGGCTTCAGAGGTGTTTCTGAAGAGTACATTGTTGCTATCAAATGT